AGCAAATAAAGATTTCCCCCTATATCTCTCCAATGGTTTTCTCAAAATAGTTTTCTAGTTATATACCAGTAATAAACTTTTAGAGAGCACAATAGCCTTTAACACAAAGACTTTAGTCTAGTGATTGATTTTTAAAAACTATTGGTGTGATGGAATATAGTGTAGAGATAGATCAACAGAAAGGAGAGGCTGCATTCTAGAAAAGTAAGGGGCAATTCAATACATAAATTATGAGTGAGAGAAATAGCATGAAGACAGCACCTCCCTAATAGAATAGAATAGAATTCTTTATTGACCAAGTGTGATTAATAAGGCAAGAAATTTGTCTTATTAATTCACAGAGTATATGGTATGTGAATTAGTTCACAGAGTATATGGTAGATGCAGATAATAGAGTCCTCAGCTTGACAAGAATTTCCATGCATCATTCTTGGTTTTAGTAGTCCTAAAAGGTTCATCACAATATGCTGTTCAAAATTATTTTGCATCCTTAGTGTTCCCATAGTTTCCCCTCATTTCTTATTAAGCAGCTTTGGCTATGCAAGATGACTATCCTAAGCATCAATTTGTAATTCACTGAGCATCTGTAAAAATTATCATGTACTGCTAATGAAAAATTGGTGGGGACATATAGTTGAAAAAGTAGTTGAAAATGAGCAGATTAAAATACTGTCATCCATGACAATAACTTTAACAGCATCAACCATCAACATTTACCTATCTCAAGTCCAAGGGAATGACTAGATAGGTGGATAAAAATGCCAAAATCAGTTTAAACATCTGGACAACTTTGCAACCAACCATAATATGCTATTATTTAATTTGCTGTATTATTGCAGGTAACATATTAGATTTTTAATAACATCCTTGAAAATTCTGTGTAATGTTTTATTCAAAAGTATGGGTCATTAAGTAAGAATTACTCTTGCACTAAATGTAGTATTGCTATTATTCATGTTGATTCTCTTTTGTAAAAAAAAAAAAAAAAAACCTTTGTTACATTTGTAATCCTTGTTCTGAAAATGCAGTAGGAATTTTCAAGTGTTTTTTTTAAAGATAAATTGTAATTTGTTCCTGTGAGAACAGTGATAGGATGAAAGTTGTGTTACATATTTGAAAGAAGATATAAAATTAGGTAGATAATATTAAGCCAATTTTTAAAGACAGTGGCAGAGGATTTTTTTTTCAGTTCCCTTGTGTATTTGTGTCCCACATTATGCAAGAGGCAGCAAATTAAATTAGGATTTGGGGCGGTTAGATTAAACTCCTCTTCTACTTGAATTACTGTGTGCAGTTGGCAGATTCCCAACTGTTAGTTTTTGTTACAGAATGAAACATACATAAAACTAAAGACACTTTTGCTACTGAAGCCAAAACTAGAATCAATGTTAATCCATGCCATTGGGAAGGAGTTCATTATTAAGTAGTCACCTAAATAGCTGTACCGTAAGTAAGAAATGTGTCTGGTTTGCCTAATTATGGGAGTCTATATTCAAAAGAGAAGAGGCTGGAGAAAAAGCAAGTGAACTGAAAATGAGGTAGAGGTCTTAGGTGATTTCCTCAAGTACCGTATTTTTCAGAATATAAGACACACTGGAGTATAAGATGCACCAAGGTTTTGGCAAATTGCACTCTGCAAAACTCCTGAAAACGGGCCTGTTTTTTTCCCCCCAAAAAAGGGCATGAATAGCCTTTAGGAGACTTATAGACTGCTCCTGGGGTCTGGGGGGAGCAAATTTGATCAATAAATGACCCATTTTTCACTCATTTCTGCCTCCCCAGCACCCAGGAGCTTTCTGAAAGCCTTCTAAAAGCTATGCACGCCCATTTTGGTGAAGTGGGCAGGGTTTCAGGAGGAAAAAAAAAATGCTATATTCAGTGTATAAGACGCCACCAGATTTTCAGCCTCTTTTCTGAGTGAAAAAGGTGTGTCTTATATTCTGAAAAATATAGGAATACTAAATCTTGAAGGACCTGGTTGAGGTGAAAGGGAGGCCTTTTAACCAACTCAATTAAACCAATCTCATTGTACATATGTTGTGCACTGACAATAAATAATAATAATAATAATAATAATAATAATAATAATAATAAGTATTGTATTATGTATTGTGTATTGTGTATTATATAATAATGATAATGATGATGATGATAATGATAATGATGATGATGATAATGATGATGATAATAATAATAATAATAATAATAATAATAATAATAATAATAATAANACACACACACACACACACACACAAACACACACATATTCATAAGCAACAAATAAAACATTATAGCTGCAGGCCAGAGTAAATAAGATAAAGGCTCCTAGGAGTCTGAATAATAAAGAGAATTTTCTTTGGTCAAAGGGTAGATTTCCAGAAATGTAATCAAGAGGCATGCAACCTTCACTTAATAAAAGCAATGGTGTATTTCTTTGCTTATGTGGTAAATTTGTTATAGCTGCATAGAGTCATGCAGCATGTTAAAAAGTTTGTGTAAAGGGAGGCTAGGGTTTTGGAAATAAAATATGATAGGCAAGCAGCTTTTGAAGCAGATGCACATGTAAACTAATTGGCTTTAATCTCATTTGCTTCCACGACTAGCATATTTCATCATTGTAATTAAGAAATCTGAGGCAGCTGTATACTTGGAAAACAGCACCACAAGCTGCCTTGTACAACGCAGGGCCTTTTGACAGAATTCCACACATCACTCCAGGGGTCAATGGCAACGGTAGCAACAATTTCCATAGAAGCAAACCGGGATCCTTTGGTTTCAAAGTGCTTTTGCGAGACATATCTGGGTTGAATATAACATAAATAAAGGGACTGGTCTCTAGATAGTATTGAACTACAACTTCCAGAGCCCTTCCTGGCATTTACAAGGCCTTTGAGCATTCGGATTCTGCCTTCCTCAAAGGCAGAAGCTCCCTCAGCTGCGATCTATTTCAACAGAGGGTCTTATTTATTGATGCAATGAAAATTAGTGCTCAATTACAAGCGAATAACTAAATCCTCTGGATGTAAATTTGAACAGCAACAAGTCTCCTGTTTCTGCCTGTTCTTCTCAAAGGATGTGAATTATCGTTTTGTTCTCTTCTCCTTTGCTTATTGTCACGTTACCATTCTGTATTTATGTACAACTGTTCTGAACTAGCGTGAGGAAAGCTGGAATCTGACGAGTGTAAATTAGGAGCACCAAAGGAAGGATGTGAGAGCCAGGGTAGCATTTGGATGAAGAAATTGGGGAGGGATTGGGGTGATTTTTGCCCCAATCATAAAATGGGGCAAAACTCACTTAACAAATGTCGCACTTAACAACAGAAATTGCGGGCTCAAAAGTGATCGTAAGTTTGTATTGCAATTTGTAACATGCAAATATCTGTTTCATGAGATACCTGTTTCATTGTAGATATTGTTGGGGTTATTAGTATTATTAGTATTTAGTATTATTAGTATTTAGTATCTCACCATAACAGCTAATATTCAACAAATGCTGAAGAATAAGGTAAAGCAAATAAATATGCTCATTTGGACAAATTGCACAGCCACAAATAAATCTCTCAATTTTGGCATGCTGATATATTTAATAATACAGCATTTTTAGCATTTTTTTGCCCACATGCTATGAAAATATGGAGATACCCTACCCAGCAAATGATTTATTTGTATTGCTTTTTCTCATATAAATTTTAAAAAGGCAAAATCTGGAAAGGTGTGCAGTGATTCATAAAGAACTATCCTGTGTGAATTTACTGTCACTGCTAGAATGGAATTGTTGTACTCCAATGAACACCTCCATTACGGAGAAGCTTCATCCTGTCTCCTTCTGTTTGGTGTTTTCCCCCCTCGGATTCTCATTACAGTCAAACCGATGGGTACAACTCTAACACTGTTAACAGATTATTCCTCCCATTGGGGATCCTGCATGCTGATGAAAAGAGGCAATGCATAACAACAACAACAAAATAAATAAGAAAAGACTGAAGACAAGACTAAAGGGTCAAAAACAATGCTAATTATTAACAACAAATGTAACAACAACAGAAACAGAATGTGACAACTTGCAAAAAAAGTGGGGGGGGGAGACAATATGATGATGAGATGTTGAGAAATGTTTTCCAGCTTTGGAGAGGGGGGAGAGAACATCTGTTAATGTAACTCCAGTTGATGGCATTTATGCAATTGACAATTGCTGATTTCCACACTTCTCAAATTTTAAATTGCTTTCTTTCTGGAGCGAACCTGTCCAACCTAATGAAATTATATTTCTAAGTCAGGCATGGCAGGAAGCCGTACTGTTATTCTTTAAGCGAATGGTTTTGTTTTAAGATTTACTAAAGCATCAAAGTAATTAGAGGCTACCGTGTTTCCCCGAAAATAAGAGAGGGTCTTATTTTCTTTTGACTCCCTAAATAAGTGGATGGCCTTATTTTTGAGTAGGTCTTATTATTTTTGAGGTACAGGAGGCGAGCTTGGTCACCTCATGGTTGCTGCTATGTTGCAATATTTTGGGGGAGGGTTTATTTTTCGAGGAACGCTTATTTTAGCACATGCGCTCAAAAGCCTGATTGGGCTTATTATCTGGGAGGTCTTATTTTCAGGGAAATGGGGTAGTTAGCCGGATTTCACATCTATAACAGGAGAAGTAAGATATAGCTTAGCTTATATTTAGCTTATACTATATATCTATACTGTGGTCCTCTCTTGAAGCAATGAAGTAGAAACATTTTTCATTCATGTCTGCCCAACTAAAATCTAGTTTCTGTTCAGCTGATGTTGTGAATAAATTGGTCTTCCACAGTTATGTTGTTAAAGGACAGCAACATAGTAAATTTGATGAAACAATTCTTATTATGTTTTCTTGTCCCATGTGATGGGATGGATTATAACACCAATGTTTGCTACAGTGAGTGTCACATTATCTGGCTGACAAAGGAGGCATTACAAATGATTCCCTTTCAAGGTGTGATGCTTTACATATGTTCAATGCTCTTTTACCTGAGTGGTTGCACCGAGAGGGATCCACAACTCTGCCGATCTTATCATAGCAGGCAAGTGCTCGGAAGCGCACACCTTCTCCACATTCTTTGGCATGTCTCTGAAATCTCATCTCCAACTGCAGTTCTATTCTTCCTACTGTAATTATGCATTCCGACCAATTTCCATAAGGCTGGGAGGTAAATATTGCACAAGGGCAGAGTTCCGTCTCAAGCTGAGGATAGACTTCGGTATTCTGGCACTTCTCTCGCTTTTTGCTTCTTCCTGTTCCAACCAGGAAAATATGCTTGTTAGTGTAACATCTGCTGCTTTTGATAACAGTATGTCATATTATTTATACTTGAAGGGTTTTAATACAGTTAGAACCAAACCATCTGAAATGTAAATACGGCAGCAGAGTTGGTTCAAAGACATCTGTTAGTTCCTGCCAGAGCTCTGGAGAGCTAAGACGATGGAGATATCTCCAGGGCAACCAGGAAACCTAAAGAAACTTGGAAAGAATCTTTTGGATGAAGCACAAAACAATAACAAGGGGAGCAACTATCTGATTGCTTTTGTTACAAAAGAAAACAAAAGTCTGTTCTTCCCCTCTGTAATTATCTGAAGAAAATAATTTTATTGTGCCATTCTCCAGTTCCCACCTACGGATTCTTGGGGATCCTACAAAAGTAGAAGAGGAAGCTGCATCTTTTTCTTTGAATCTTCTGTATAAATTTTGTATAAATTAACTGAATACAATTTCCACATACAAATACTGGGTCCATCCTTTGAAATTCTGGCATTTAAGTGATTAGTAAGAACTTCAATTTTTCAAGACTTTTTCTAACACAGATGGTCAGGCAAATGTCCCAAAAGATACTACAGTGTATACTTAACTTATTACTCTTCAATATTTATTATATCATCTCAGATATTGTGGTGTATCTATAGATATCTGGGTCAACCTGGATTTCAGCAATTTGGGGTGGGGGGGCACAATGAATTTAAGATCTATACAAGAAACCACAAGATTCCATTTATTAAAACAGAGGTTCTGAAATATCCATTTGTGATGCCAATATATTTTATTGAAAACGATTTAAAGATACAAATTAAAATAATCCAGAGCGCACGAGATAACCCAGTCTCATGAAGTTTGTGTTCTTGCATGAAATCCCATGAGACTTTAGTCATTTTAAGTATTAAAATTCCATCCATAACATCAAATGAATTTATGCAACAGGGTCTACTACCTGAAATAGTTGCTAAGCTCTGACTAAAGTATCAGAATGATAACAATGTTCCAATATCTAAGGCGCTGCACAAAGAAGGGGAATCAACCTATTCTCCAAGGCACCTGAAGGCAGAATAAGAAGCAATGGATGGAAACTAATCAACGAGAGATCCAACCTAGAAGTAAGGAGAAATTCTGAAATATTTAGAACAATTAAGCAGTGGAATGAATTGCCTCCAGAAGTTGTAGGTGTTCCAATGCTGGAGGTTTTTAAGAAGAGATTGGACAACCATTTGTCTGAAATAGTATAGGGTTTCCTGCTTGAGCAGGGGGTTGGACTAGAATACTTTCAAAGTCACTTCCAACTCTATTATTCTGTTTATTCTGAAAGAATAGACTTATTTGTATGGTATCCTATAAATGTTGCCAACATACATAGACAGTTTTAAGTTTTGGATGGATACGCAGGAGCCATGGATAGCCAGAAAGCTGACCTTTATTGTTACAGGAGTAAGATAACAGCGATTCCTGTTTTCACAAACACGCCCAGCATTTATAGTAATTGTAACAATCACATGCTGATGCAGTACCTCGGCCAATCAGGGAAGATTAGCTGCTAAGGAAGGCTAGCAAGTCTCAGAATACATAACACCCCTTCCCCCCAGATCTACGCAAGCTTGGCTAAGGAGCTTTGAACGTTCCAGAACATTGTAAGAACATTAACTCATTTTAGTCAGTTTGTCTGTGTGTTACATTTGCGTGTGTGTGTATAACATTTTAGAACTAAGATTACCCAGAGCTATTCACTTCTGCTTGTTATTACGAAAAAATCACAAGGATCAAGCCCCAGGAGCACAGCCCCAGGAGCATTCTGGGATCTGTAGTTTAGAGAAGATTGTATGACAACTCCATTTTCCACTTCTCCTTTCCCCAGTTA